CCTTGGAAACATCTGGAGCCCGATGCTGTGCCCTTTTCAGGTGGGTTCGGTGGCAACGCCCTGAGAGTGTGGGACGGGAGTGTCCCATTGTTGGCTGTGGCTTGCTCTCGAGTCGAGGATTTGGTTTGCAGGTCCTGGCACAGGATCGGGGAGGATTGGGGAGCCGCAGAAAGGACATTTTATACACATGTCGTCTGAGGCTGGCAGACACCTAGGAGTTCCCTCCAGTCATCTCATTTTATGGGCCAGAAAACCAGTATCTAAGGCGGTGAACAGATCTGCCCACGGTAATGTAGCAGGCGGCACCCAGGACTGAGCCAGGGTCATGTCTCCTATGTCTTGGGGCAGGCCTCCCGCCTCCAGCCTGGAGAGAGGACAGGCTGCTCCTGGGGCCCTGCTCTCAGAAAGGGCCTAGCTGATGGGGCTCCTAAAGCAGCAGGAGAGGACCACTGCCGGGACTGACCAGCAGACCCTGAGCAACGGATGAATGATGACTCTGACACACGTTTCTATGAAAGAGAGGCTAAGGGACTGCTTGGCAGGAGGCACCAAGCAGCCTCGTCTTCCTGCCTCCTCAGGCTTTTATTGTCACAACAGCTTGAACTAAAATTAACTATTAGATACAATCAGCAGGGCAAGCATCCTTGAGAAGGCACATGCGTCTATAAGGTCGGGTCTAAAGACTCAGCATACAGATTCCAGCAAAACACCCGGGGGCTCGGACTTGTTTGGAAAAGTCAAGGCAGGGGCTGCCCCCTTCGGCAAGGCCCCCCTAGAGGCCCCCCGACCTTTCGGAGAATCCTCCTTACAGACCTTCTAACCGAGTCCCGTGCTTCCCCACAGACCACCAAGTGTTCAAGGGCTATAGCCATTGAGGGCCCAGGGCTGCAGACTGGACAGTCGTTAGTCAGGACTGAGGGGGGGGGGGTGCGGGGGGGTTGTCAATCAGGAGAGAGTCTCAGCAGAGAGGCCCCTCCCAGGTCTGGAAGAAGGAGGCAGTGGGTTGGCTGCGGAGGTGCGTGGTCAGGAAGTGCTCTCTGGGTGTGGACTCTGCAGCAAAAGTGAAAGAGAACCAGAGACCCACAATAAAGGGCACGGAAAGCAGACACCCAGGGGATTTCCTGCTCTGCTCTCTGCGTGGACGCTGGGTGCTGGCGCTGCTCCTGCTCTCAGGCTGTTTCTGCTGCTCCCTCGGCTGCAGCGATGGCTGCCCATGCTGCCTGCCTCTGTGTGAGTTGGGCCTTGATAAAGGGGACGAGGGGCGGGGGAGGGAAGGCACCTCCAAGAGATGGGGGTCTCAGGAATGGGTGAGGGCAGTGCTCAGAGAGGGGTGGCTGGAAGGCGTCTCCAAGGAGGGTGTGAAGGAAGGTTCTGGGAAGAAGAGCTGATCATTTGGCTCCCGAGTTCCTTCTGTGTCAGGCCTTGGGCTGGCCGCGGTAGGGATTCATGGTGAGAGGTGGCGTTGGGCTTTGTGCCCATGGGACTGGCAACATTGAAAACGGTGGAAATATTGCCCGGAGCCCTTTCCCTCATCCTGTTTAGGGGCCCAGGGCTCTCAAACCGGTTTCCTTCTCTTCCCAAAAGAGAGGTCCACAAACTCACGTACCCTCAGCTGTGAGCGACCTGCTGCCTTCCTTCTGTGGGAACGCGCTCCCTCCGGCGAGGCCCCAGGAGAGCCCAGCGAGGGCAGCGCTCGCTCAGCGGGGCAGGAGAGAGTCCCGGAAGTCTCAGTCGGGAAGATGTTTCTTTTGGACAGAGCATGAGGGAGGGCCACCAGGCTCTCAGCCACAGCACAGGGCTCACGTGAGGTAGAGCCCTGCCCTCTGTGAGTGAGGCCCTGTGTTAATCACAGGAAGAGATCATATTCTACAACAGGGAGCTAGAGAAACACAGGAAACACAGACGAACAAATAGCATCGAATGGAGTGTCGCTGTGACATGTGTTATTACTATAAAGCAACCAGACCTCCAATAGAAAGCCACAGTACAGAGACTGTGTCCTCACCAGGGCTCCTCCTACAGCACTCAAGGGGGGCAGGCCCGTGGGTGCCCGATGACGACGCTGCCAAATCTTGGAATTTCCATTAGGAAGTTGTTTTTAAGAGTCTGGTGTACGCCTTTGGGTGCTTTGTACTTGTATTTAGTTTTTTTCTTTAATCTTCACCCGAGGATAATCTTCAAAAATTGATGAGAGAGAAACACCAGTGTGAGAGACAAACATTGGTCGGTTGCCTCCCACCTGCGGCCTGACGGGGATTGAACCTGCGGCCTGCTGGTGTGTGGGGCGATGCTCCAACCAGCTGAGCCACTGGCCAGGGCGGTATTTAGTTCTTGACATTTGACACACTTTATCTGGATAGGAAGCAGGTATATATGGTGGGAGATTGTTAATGACAGTTTGGGGATGGATCAGAGGTGTGATTATTATAAGAAATAAAACTGATGTTTGTCTTTGTGTTATAACCTGGGGATTCCAAAAGAGACGTTTCGAGGCAGGGAAGGACACCACTTGTGATGAAGGAGCCGGAGGACCTAACAGCAATGAAGGGCAGGAGACACTGGGGAGGGGGTGAGGAGTGGGAAACATGGCAGGTCTTCCTGGCAACTGTCTCTTGGCCTTCCTCGTCCAGGTGAAGGTGCACTCTGAGGAGTGGGGCTCCATGACCTTCGCTGCCAGCCTGGAGGACAGAGTGAAGAAGATCGGCGAACACGTCCGATCCAAGACCCACGTGCCCGTGCAGGACCAGGTCCTTCTGCTGGGCTCGAAGCCGCTGAAGCCGCACAGAACGCTGTCATCTTATGGCATCGACCACGAGACGACCGTCCACCTCACCCTGCGGGTGGTGAAGCCCAGTGACGAGGAGCTGCCCTTAGTTCTGGTGGAGCCGGGTGACGAGGGGCAGAGGCACCTCCTCCAGGTGCGAAGGTCCAGCTCAGTGGCCCAGGTGAAAGAGATGATCGAGACCAAGACCGCGGTGCCCCCCGAGAAGCAGATTGTGACTTGCAATGGAAAGAGGCTGGAAGATGGGAAGACCATGGCACGTTATGGCATCAGGAAGGGCACCTCACTCTTCTTGACACCCCACTGCATCGGGGGGTGACCATCCTGGGGAGAGATGATAGTAGGAGCAAAAGAGAGCTTATTTCCTCTTAGCTCTTACTCACCAACCACATCCGCTGATGACTTCTCCCAGTTAGTGAGAAACAGGTGAGGAGGAAGAGGAGATTTGGAGTGGGGTGGTAGGCTGCAGAACACTTTTTAACTCTATGACGCTTTGATTCTCGCGTAGTTAAGTGGCAGGATTGTGTGTAACTGAGAACAGAAGGTAACATTGTGAAGGCTCATGAGAGAGAGCATTCAAAGCCAGCTTGAGTGTGATCCTTTTTGGCTCCCCCTGATTTATAGACAACCCCCCATTTCCTTTCCTATCTAACAACATAGTCAGTTCTAGGCTGGGATCAATGTTCTAATTTCTGTGTTTTCATCTATGTGTAAGCCAGTGCGCTATCTATCATATCACTAGATGACTGTTGAACCACATTGAATTTCTACTTGTAGGGAACAATGAAATGATTTCTTATGAAGTGAATTAATTGCTCTGACGTGATCACAGTTTAATTAATAAAGAATTTAGAAATTCAATTAAACTGCTTCTCCTCTCCTCATTCGAAGCTGTTTGGTATAAAAGGAAACCTGGCGCCATGCCCCTCTTGCTCCCTCTGCCCCACACCCAGTCACATGGCTCTTACTTCTGGGATTAAGGCGGACACGGATACGTGTTTTCGCTGGGGACTAGAAAGCTCGTGTCTCTGGCGGTGGGGTGTCAGTTTGGGTAAAGGGTCTAGGGCAGTGATGGCGAACCTTTTGAGCTCGGCGTGTCAGCATTTTGAAAAACCCTAACTTAACTCTGGTGCCGTGTCTCATATGGAAATTTTTTGATATTTGCAACCATAGTAAAACAAAGACTTATATTTTTGATATTTATTTTATATATTTAAATGCCATTTAACAAAGAAAAATCAACCAAAAAAATGAGTTCGCGTGTCACCTCTGACACGCGTGTCATAGGTTCGCCATCACTGGTCTAGGGGCTGGTCCCCGGATTGACACCCACACTCTGCCCAGCTTCTGGCAGATAGAACTTTCTCCTTTCTGCTTCCTTCACCACCAGGTTCTCTCTCGGAATCTCATAGCCCTTTCTCCGTCTTACACCCTTCATTCAATCCTCTATCTTACTGTCCCTCTCTCATGTTACTTTACTGGTCACATGCATGTTTTTCTCACCACCTAAGCCATGTCCACCTACTGATCCACTAGTCTGGTCCCTTCTTATCTTTAAAACTTGCTCAAGAACCACCTCCTTGAAGAAGAGTTTCCCAACTTAACCCCACCCAGCACAAACCATACTGGTGGGTGTTTCTCATTAAACTGATGGGGCAGGCGCTCTGTGGTGGGCACTGGTCACCTGGCCAGGCGGCGTTGGATGGAACTGGTTCCCTGTGTGAGAGGCCCTGGCTCCTTCTTCGGGATGGGGTGTGCTTCACGGTAGAGGCTAGGATTCCCTCGTCCGTTTGGAAGACTCCCGATGCCAGGGAGTGTTCCGGGGCGTCTTCCGCCAGACTGGGAGAGAGCCAAGCTCAGCCTCGCGGGCCTCACCTCACCACCATGGGGGAGGTCACAGTACCTGCTGAGCATGCGGAAGGTCTTCCCCAAATCATGCTTCCTCTCCTGCTCAGCCCGGGAGGAACCCCGAGGGCCATTTCCAACCTCCAAGCCTCTATTTGCAGAGGATGCAGGGGTTTTCCCTGAAGCACATGAGCACTTCCTAATGGGGAAGGGTCTCCCTATTCGCCTGCCTTGGACTCCCGAGGGCAAACTCTTGCAGATTCTCACACAGAACTGAAGAGCCTCAAGGCTAAACTGACTAACCTGCCAATGGGCATTCCCAGGCTTGGCCCTTGGGCTCACAGGTTCCTGCCTACCCCGCTCCTCACTGCCCAACCTGCCCTGTCCACAGGCTGACTTCCCGATGGCCCCCTCGCTGCCCTGTCACTCCCTGTTCCTCAGGTTGCAGGTGAGTAGGTCGAGGGCCGAGGGCCGGTGAGACTATGCTGTAGAAAAGTGAAACGCGCTTGCCGTGCCTCTGGCTGTAGCTGTGTGTGGGTTGCAGGAAGGTGTAGATGGCCGAGCTGTAGAAGAGGCAGACACGGTCTTCAGCTGGGAACCCACACCTGTCCACCGCTTTCCTGTGGAAGATCCCAGAGAACACCGGAGTGCTAGTCCCTGGTGCATGGGTCCCCAGGGAGCTCTCTGGGCGTAGGTGATCCGGGCGCAAGCATGGCAGGTGAGATGGGGTGGGAGAGAGATCCCCGCGCAGAGTCCCATCCTGTTCTCTAGGGCTTTTACTCCCACTCCTTAGTGACTCAGAGGAGCATCGGGTCTACCTCATGGGCGATGCTGCAGACGCCAGAGAAGCCGGCCCCCTCCTGAGGTGGTCCTCCTCTATGTTTCCACCCAGAGCGACCTCGTGAGCTGTGCAGCTAGGTGCCCTCCTGTGCATCAGCCAGTCAACTCCTCTCTCCCGCCCAAGCCCTCAGCGCTCAGTTTGGAGGCCAGGACATTTTGGCCTTTGGTGGTCCAGGGGTGGGATGTGCATTAGATGGCAGGTGAGATGGGGTGGGAGAAAGATCTGCCTTTCCTCACTGGGGGGCCCTCCTGCCCAGGCTCTCCAGCAGGGCAGGACTCGGTGGGAGTCTGGGCGATCGGAAAACCATAAGACAAACACTTTTTGTTCCTCCCAGCACTCAGGGCGGAGGTCAAACCCAGGAAGCGGTGGTGCTGGTGCTGATGAGCAGGTCCCCTCTGGAGCTCCGGGTTTCAGGGGAAGAGGTGGGGAGGGGGGAGGGGGGATGGAAACACCAATCTTTGCGCAGGCCCCCACCTGGAAAATCTGAAATTGTTTTTGACAGTTGCAATTTGCTCTTATTATTTTGGACAGTGAGAATAGTGTATGCAGAAAAAGATGAAAAGATCTTACCTGAACTTACTTTAATATGGAAAACACAGAGCATTTATCTTGAGTAATATTACATTCTACAATTTTTAAAGAAAATGAAGCAAATGGCATGCGCTAGTTATTGGCATCAAAATTAACAAATTTATCCATGTAACTTTACATTAATAAAAATAAATGACATTTTCCAAAATAGATATTATTATGCATTGCTCTCAATTCTAAAATACTTTAGAAACAACAGGTAACAACTCAGGGCCTTAAACAGAAAGCGAAAGCTAAAATGGGGTCTAGGCTATGTTCACACACATACAAATAAGGTTAAATAAGATGAAGAGTAAATATGCCCTATTTTGTTTCTTAAAACTTCTATTTAATGTAAATAGTGCCAAAACCAACATAAATAAAAATTGAAACTAATATTGAAAATGCCAGTTTGGATGCAATATGGTATACTATTTGTGTGTAAAGATTTTGAATTGGGTGAAGCTTTAAATAAATTATAATTCTCACTCAGAATATTGGAAAGGAAATATTTTAAATATATGTATTACTTTTTTCCATTAAGGAGAGTTCATTTATTACTCAACCAATTGTAAAAATGATCTCTCTTTCACCAATGAGTAAAGTTATTATAAATCTACTAGAGGCCCGGTGCATGAAATTTGTGCACTGGGGTGGCGGGGGGGGGGGGGGGGGGGGCTGTCCCTCAACCCCAACCCTGTACCCTCTCCAATCTGGGACCCCTCGAGGGATGTCCGACTGCCCAGAGTGAGATCGAGCCTAAACGGGCAGTCGGACATCCCTCTCACAACCCGGGACTGCTGGCTCCCAACTGTTTCTGCCTGCCAGCCTGATCGCTCCCTAACCGCTCCCCTGCCGGCCTGATTGACGCCTAACTGCCCTCCCTGCCGGCCTGGTCGCCCAGAACTGCCCTCCCCTGCAGGCCATCTTGTGACCACATGGTGGTGGCCATCTTGTGACCACATGGGGCGGCCATCTTGTGTGAGGGTGTGATGGTTAATTTGCATACTATAGCTTTATTATATAGGATTTCTTTCATGATTGCTATTATGAACATGAGCAAATGTCACTCATCCTTCTCTTTCCCTTCTACTATACCTAAAGAATCATTCTTTAGTTTGCCCAGTTTACTGATTTTAGAGCTACTTTTGAGTGTATTCGTCTTTCTTTCTTTCTTTCTTTCTTTCTTTCTTTCTTTCTTTCTCTTTCTCCTTCTTTCTTTCTATCTTTCTTTCTTTCTTTCTTTCTTTCTTTCTTTCTTTCTTCCTTTCTTTCTTTCTTTCTTTCTTTCTTTCTTTCTTTCTTTCTCTTTCTTTCTTAATCCTGTCACTCTTTTCCCCCTGCCCTGCAAACCCCTCCAACTGACAGCTGTCAGAGGGAAAATCAGAAGTTTTGAAGGTGGAAGTTATTACTAAATCCTGATGGACTCACTTGCTGGAGGTTAGGGCTGTCTGTGTGTTTGCTTGTGCACAGCTATTCCCTTCAATAAACTGTCTTTTTTTTTTCTTTTCCTTTTTTAGATTTAACTTTCTTAAGTATTCCATGACTTTTTAAAAATATTTTTTGTTTTTTCGTTAACAATGGTTTATCCTCCTTCATGCTATTTCCAAATCTGCCTTCATTTTTGAAATAGTTTAATTTTTCTCCCACCATTTAATTTATGTTTTTCTTTTTCTTAAAAATATTCATTGAATTTGTTGGGCTGACATTGGTTAATAAAATTATACAGGTTTTAGCTGTACGATTCTGTAATACATCATGTGTATGTTGTATGTTGTGTGGTCACCACCCCAAGTCAAGTCTCCTTCCATCACCATTTATCCCGCTGTACCCTCTCCTACCTCCCCCTCCTGCCCTTCCCTCTGAATAACCTGCCTTTTCACTGGAAGAAGGTTTTTTTTTGTTTGTTTTTTTGGTGTCTCCTTGTGGTTTTAATTTTACTTTTTATTTTTGACAGTACTAGGAGAAGACCGTCCCTTCCCCCCC